GCACGCAAACACACGCAGACACATACATACATACATACATACATACATACATACATACATACATACATACATACATACATACATACATACATACATACATACATACATACATACATACATACATACATACATACATACATACATACATACATACATACATACATACATACATACATACATACATACATACATACATACATACATACATACATACATACATACATACATACATACATACATACATACATACATACATACATACATACATACATACATACATACATACATACATACATACATACATACATACATACATACATACATACATACATACATACATACATACATACATACATACATACATACATTATAGAATATATAGAATTATATAAATAGAATTTTTAGGGTCAGTTATTTTTCAGGGTGAAACTCAAAACGACTTTTGGTCGACAAAATTAAAAAAATTAAAAATTGTTTTAGAACGGCTAGCAATTATTTCAAAGCACGATGCTTTGAAATAATAGACGTTTTAGTTGCAGGTGGCTTACCTTCCCCGTTTGTCGTTTTTTTTGAGAATGTCTCCAGGCCCGGAGGTCTCAATTCTAGAAAGCTTCGATAAAAAGTTACGTGATGGTTTCGAAAATATTTTCAACATCTCCCTGGATGATAAGGGTTGGCTGCAGGCAATTTTGCCCCTGTCCGCAGGCGGTCTTGGTCTAGGATCCGTGGCTGAGCTGGAACCTTCTGCCTTTTTGGTCTCAGCCGCTGCAACGGTATCCATACAAGATATGCTGCTGCCAACCGATAAAGTGTATGTTGATAACGTCAGAACGAAGGTATACGTGGGGTGAAAGGCAGCTTTTGGAAAAGACGTTGAAATAAATACCGTGCTGCAAAAAGAATGGCACGCATCATCAGTGAATCGCCTGATTGATCGACTATCCTTGCTCTCTAACTCAATACATGATAAATCAAGGATCAATGGCAGTTCGGAGTGAGTTGGGCTCCGAATGGCTGAGAGCTGTCCCGAGCACAGCCTGTGGTACCAGAATGGATGATGCCGCTGTTCGTGTGAGTTTGGGATTGAGATTGGGGTTGTCTGTGGTCACGGAGTATAATTGCAAGTGTGGTGCAAGGGTGGAACCGCTGGGTTACCATGAAATATCTTGTAGGTTGGGATAAAGAAGGCAAGCCCGACACTCTGCAATGAATGATTTTTAGTCAGAGTTTTTCAAAGAGTTGCTATTCCGATAATAAAGAAGCCAGCTGGACTGCTTGAAAATGGTATCTACACACTTGACAATTACACAGTGGTTTCTTGGGCCCAAGGACGCTCCATGGCGTGAGACGTAACTTTTCCCCACACAATAGCCAAAAGATATATCGGTTTTACGTCAACGGAGGCTGGGACCACCGCGATTAAAGCGTCTGACCAAAAAACAATAAAATATTCCACTTTAAATGATAGCACCAAAATGTTTACACCAGTATGCATTGAAACATTTGGCCCAACTGATGGGCAAACACAAACATTTATCAATCAGTTAATAGCAAAAGTTGTTGAGATTTCCGGCGATCCGGAAGACAAACGTTACATAAAATAATACATTTCAATATTATTACAAAGATTTAATGCATTTTGTATTATGGAGAGAGCAACGAAGTACCTTTCTGTGCAGGAACCCCGAACATAAATAAACACTGAAACCTGAAATTGATTTTAGCTCCCTCATAGCTTTTATCAACAAGGGGCCCATACACATACATGCATACATTCATACATACATACATCATGCATGCATACATACATACATACAATCAAGTACATTTTGTTTACCATATTCTTATTTTTCAAACGAATTACAAGTGGCTGAATAACTTCATACATTTGAAAATAATTAACGTGAGAAGGTAAACAGTGTGCAAGCGAACAAAGAACAAATAGACCAATAAAATACAATAGATCAAACAAACAAACAAATGAACACATTAAATTAATTTGTAAAACTTTCAACATTCCCCCATATTAACGTTCGAGTTTTGTTGATTTGTCGCTCACGATCATAGCACAATTTTATCGGTGCTTTTCAATGTAATTAATATAAGTAAATGGTAGAAGTAGAATATGCATGCGCGTTAGTTGAATATTTATTTAATTTATGAAGGCGTCATCATCATTTGCATTTGTTTTGATTCACTAAACCCTATTTGTTAGGCTTACATGCTTTCTTGCTCGAACGAATGCATCTTCAACAGTTGTCCGGATGTTGGTGAAGTTTATAATATTAATTGACGACACCTACGCGAGTAATGTAAGCTAACATTGCATGCCATACAATTTCATACAAACTTTCAGCTCTGCTTATTTGTGCAGGTGAGATATTTTTAGATAGTAAACCGCTGTGTAAATTCCATATTTTGGTTTTATGTTTGTGATTAAGTTCAATCTAAATTCGAGCATGAATGTTAGTGTTGCATGCTTGAGCTTTTGTGTGTGTGTGTGTTTGTTTTGTGCTTGCGTGCTCATACTTTGCATACAATGAAAACTTTGAATTTTCATAAGTGCGTCACATCCGACCGTTCAAATTTTACTGCCGCATTGTGCTCAACTACACTTCCTCTATTGAATCTTAACGTGAGACTTTTGAAAGTTTATTGACTCAAATGCTGGGTGTAAGAAATGCGTTGATTTGAAATGTTGAAGTGTGTTCAGTTGAATGTTCGAATGACGGGTGAACACGATTTTCTTGCTTTTGTTTTTAAAAAAGGTCATGCTTAATTTAATTAAAATATCCACACAAGATGAAGTTATTTTATCTAGGTGGTGTTTAACACTATCATCATGTTAAACCAGTTTTGTATCGACCCATTTCAAGTGATTTTTAGTTGTCATAACAAGTTGTGTCAAACGCGGAAATGTCATTCGTGTTTCATTCAACAAAAATAAAAATTTAGCAGATTATTACAATTGAGTTGTAATGCATTTTTAATCAGATTGATATGCGGTTCCTAGTTAAAACAACGTTGAAGCAACACTTCAATACTCGGTTTGCCAATTGTGACCAAGTTTGATAGTCAATGTGGTTCCAAAGTCGAGCCATTGGGTTATCACAGTCTATCATGTCACCTAGGCCCTGGAAGGCAGGCCAGACATTCCACGGTAAACGATTTTATTGTGAGATGCTTTATAAAAGCTAATATTTCTATGATAAAAAAGCCAATGGGTCTGATAGAGAAAGGGAGTTTCAGACCTGTAGAATACACGATTTCCCCATGGGCTATGGGACGTCCGCTGGCTTGGGATGTTACTTTTCCCCATACTATGGCTGATTGGTATTTTGCCTTCAAATCGGCTGAGGCAGGTACAGCGGTCTTGACTTCAAAAGTAATAAAAATTCAACTCTAAATGATGATAATAAAATATTCCAATCAATATTTGGACCAACCGACAGGGAAACTGAACGGATTTTAAATAAACTAATTTTAAAAATAGTTGACGTATCAGGAGACCCATTTGACAGATTATATATTAAACAATCTGTTTCAATTATTCTTCAAAAATATAATTCTTTTTGTATCTTGAATGGAGCTTTAAAACACCTGTCTGTGGGGGACACCTAACAAACACATAGAAAAGATTATGGCTCTATCGTAGTTATAAATCAAGAATGGTTTCATACATACATACATACATACATACATACATACATACATACATACATACATACATACATACATACATACATACATACATACATACATACATACATACATACATACATACATACATACATATATACATGCATGCATGCATGCATGCAAACATCCAATGCGTACATACATACATACATACACACACAATTAATCAGCTGATTTGACCACCACCGCCGTGCAAACATACACAGTTGATTGCTTTGAGATCATAAACCTTTTAAAACAAATCTTCAATAAAATATGAAATGGATTAACAACACTGAAAATGTCATATGTACGTACAAATATTTGTTAACTATTTCAAGAAATAACAACAAAGTTTGTTTGTTTGGGAAGTTCGAATTAAAATTAAGTCCTCAACCAACAATATAAACATTTGAAGTAAAATTTCAATAAAAGAGAAGTAAAACTGCATAACCTATTTGCATCTTTGGCTCTGGTAATTATAAAAAACATCAACAAATGACAAATGCAAAAGTGACTCAGCTGGGCTAAAACCGTTGAAAACAATATAAAGTAAGAAAAGTGGAAATTTCTTTAAAAACTGGTATCGTCTTATTGTAAAATCACTTAAAAATTCATTTTAACAATTAACATAAAATTAAAATTCAAGATTTGGGGTGCAGTGTGATTAGAGGGATGATGCAAGAATTATTATTATTAATGTTGTGGCTGGCCTGCTTGAGGAAGGGGTGGATGATGAGGTCGATGGCTTGGGACCTTTTGCATGGGTCCCTGTTCAACATCAGCTCCAGGAATCCTATCAACCTGGATGACACCTGTCGCGTCAGTTATTGTTGATGATGGTGTTGATGTTGTTGATGATGATGCTGATGTTGTTGTTGATGATGATGCTGATGTTCTTGATAATGTTGATGTTGAAATTGTTGATGATGATTTTTTGATGATGTTGTTGTTAAATTTTTGTTATTATTTCTGATTATGAAGCAAAACAAATGATCTAGCCATCATGATAACGTTCACAACCAAGTGGTGAGATTTGTACAAAATGTAAATGATGCCATCAACACCGAGTTAACTTCGATTTCTTGTTTAAAACTCGTTCAGACAAACATGGCATGGTGAGCAAATACATATATCCAGTAGTCATTATACAATAAATTAAAATTATGAAAAGAGCATATGATGAAAAAATATCACTAATGATTACAACGTAGGACATTTTGCTTTATCTGACAGACCTTGCTGGAGTTTTTAAATTTCGGCGGGGGCATGTCTCTAATCCTCTTCATGGCTTGCAGTGGTGGCTCGTTGAAGAATGGTGGCTCCCCGTCCACCATCTCAATCAACATTATTCCCAGGGACCATATATCCGCCTACGTGTACACGCACACAATATATATACATTATATATCAATACAGACAGTTTGATTTTTAATTTTTAAATCGAAATCAAAAATTATAAAAGTTTTTTTTCTTTCCACGAATACAGCAGAAACAGCAAAATGCATTTCATGGGCGTAGCCAGTATCAACCCCCCCCCCAAGAAATAAAATATTTCTTTATTCGATCTGTTTTATATTTGCTTTTCGCCATTAAAAAAATTATTCAATTTTTTTTTCAATATTTTTACTCTTAAATTGACATTCCAAATAATTATGCTAAAGGAACTAGTTATTTAAACGTTTACAAAAATTTGAATTTAGATGCTCAGTTTGAAAAAATTGTTTATAAATTAAGTTGCATGTTATTTATAATTTCTAAAATACAAATAATAACTTTTGGTATATTTGCATTTATATTTTGATTATCTTGATAGTAATAATCCAATTTTATTTTTTGTTGCTATATTTATGCGAATGAAACCAAAAAATTGAAAAGAGGCATAAGTGAAAAGCAGCACGACAGAACATTTTTTTAATGAACGTTAAGAAAGACTGACCTCCGTGCCGTAGGGCAGCCTGGAGATGACTTCGGGGGCCATCCAGTAGGGAGTGCCCACCAGGGACTTACGGCGAGGAACATCTGCTGTGATTTGCGCGCAGAATCCAAAGTCGGACAACTTAACCTGGGAGTTCGGGCAAGAATGTAATGTTGAAAATTAGGTTCTACTAAAAGGTGATCAATATTTTGGATAAGTTTAATAAAAACTGGGACTATATACCTTTCAAGTGAAAAATTATGATATCCCTAAACTGAAAATTGTAAAAAATGGAGATTGTTGGATGAGGTACTGACCTGTCCTGTGGAAGAGATAAGGATTGAATCCGATTTGATGTCTCTGTGTATGATGCCGCTGGCGTGCAGAAAGATAAGGGCGTCGAGACAGGACCTGCACACTGTGGCCATCTGCTCCTCGTTCATCCTGGAATCAAGTAGTGTTTCGGTGGTTGGTTGGTTGGTTGGTTGGTCGGTCGGTCGGTCGGTTGGTCGGTCGGTCGGTCGGTTGGTGTCTTTTACTTGAATGATTGATCGGTCATTTTTAGTTTTTTAAACAAATAATTTTGTTGATAATATGATGTTCCAAATATTTTCTTGTTTTTAATACTTCATGAGAATATAATACTTTATTGTATATTACAAAATGACTAACTTATAAATATTGCATGCATTTTTTTATTAGCAATTGTATAATTTATTTATTCATTTTTTTTCTTATCAATCATTTTTTGTTTTGTGTATTAGTAGATTCGATCATAGTAACACTGTAGATTACTTGGTCCTGGAGATGATGTCGGTGAGCGGTCCGGCGGACATGTATTCCATGACGACCCACAACTCATCATCGAACAGGTGGCTGTCGTACATGTGCACGATGTTCGGATGTTTGAAGTCCCTCATTATGACGACCTGCAGTTCGTGTGGTCGATGTTGCCTATTATTGGGCGGTTGTGGCTTAGTTGGGCTACTATGACGATATCTCTGGATTTCTAACGAGATTGAGCGTCTACGAAATAACGTTTTAATACTGTGAAACGTGTGAGCACTAACTTCATTGTAGAGAAGTTCCTTCCTCTGCTGCTTCCTCAGGCTCATTTTTTTCACTGCCACCTTCATTTTCAGCAACTTGTGGTCGGCTAAATACACCAGTCCTGTGGAACCTTGATAGGTCATTGTGTGTGAGAGTTCGTGCGTTTAAACATGTGTGTGTGTGTGTTGTCTTTGTGTTTATATTTTGCGGAAACTTATAATTTTAATAAAATTATCTTCTTTTACTTTAACTTGTAGAACACTAACAAACAAACAAAATTGAGCACCAACTCACCTTCGCCAATTTTCACAAAATTTTCCAGGAAGGTCTCTGGGTTTGCGGGAGAGACGACGATGGATAGTGCTCTTTTGAACTGAAATGTTCAACATCAAGTAGGTCTCACAATTATTCAATTATACAATTATAATATATATTATATTATAATATATTCAATTATACAATGAGATTTAAATTTTTAAATAATCTGACATATGGCGAGTAAACCGATGTAAGCAAATGTTAACCAATTAGTTTAGTAAATAACCAAGAAAATATCCCAAAAAAGTCGACACTAAGATATATATATGTATATATGTATATATATATATACATATATATATATATATATATATATATATATATCTTGAATACTTGGTCATGGGTGGCTCTTCCAGAAATGTTAAACGGAAAGCCGTTGCTAATAAAATTGTTGTTGCTAATGTTGTTGTTGATGATGTTGCTGTTGTTGCTGTTGTTGATGTTGTTGCTGAAATTATCGATGTAATTATAAATGTGTTGTTGTCCATTGACATTGGCGTTGTTGGTAGCATCCCCATTGTCGTAGTAGTTGTTGTGGTGGTTGTTGTTGTGGTGGTCTTCTAGCTGATAATAATACTCCTTTCGTCGTTCGATCTGCTGACATTTGTTATCCTGAGAGTGAAAAATGTCTAGTCGAGTAGTTCAACAACGTGAGTGAATGTGAGTGGTGGCGTTGGGTTGTGGTGAAAATTTCAGATTGTGATAGTAAATACATTATTTTGATAAAAGTTATACATACGTCTGTCTTAGCGATGCTTAATTTTTGCATATCCTGCTGCATTTGTTGTTGATATATTTGATGTTGATGATGTTGTTGTTGTTGATGATATTGTTGATGTATTTGCTGTTGTTGTTGATGTGTTTGTTCATCTTGTTGAAGCTGCAAATGCGTTACTTGCAATCGTGAAGTCGGACGGATACTGGTATTGTGGCTGTTACTGAATTTGTTATTAATGTTGTAATTATCATTTTCAATCAGGTTGTAGATATTGTTGTTGAAGTGGTTGATGACGTTGCTGTCGTTGTTGTTAGGTGAACTGATTGGTGACGAATAACCTGGGTTGGTGTGTTGTTTGCTGTCGGTTCTGTGGTTCGTAAATGACGAGGACGTTGCAGATGTTGATGACCACGATGGTGTCGTTGCTGGTTGTAGTTGCAGTTGTTGTCGCAGTTGTTGTTGTTCATGAAAATGGTTTTGTTTGATGTTGTTGTTCTTCAGTTGATCTCCACTATGCAACGATGACAACTGAGGTGACTCGGTTGAGTTGTTTTTTAAAACTGAATAATAATGAAGACCGTCGTCGTTGTTGATGTTATAATTCTTGCTGTCATGTATATTCATGTCATTTATTCTTGAATTTTGATGTTGCCTCTGAAGAACTGATGACAAAGTGGATTTGTACTTGTCTGCAAATAACATCGAAGAAACATCTTGCATCATTATTGTCGCTATCAAGGTAGTCATCAGCATCGGCTTGAACGCCATCATCTCATAAAATCATCTTCATCATCACAAATTTTAATCGTTCCAAAACCATCAAAAGTTTCTAAAATGTTTAAACCAAACAAACCTTACAATTTATTTGTAAAGTCAACCTGATCAAATATCAATAGTTGAAAACGGTAACTATTGATGGAATGCTGATTTATAATCTATTCCAAATACTCGAAGACTTGCAAAAAACTCCAGGATGCTGCAGAATGTCTTAGTGAGTTTAAAACAGATGTATCAAAAAAAAAGAAAAGAGAGCCAGCATCGAAGTGGAATATCTAGCACAAACCACGTGACGTCGCAGTCCAAACAGATCTTCCAGCAGTTCCTGCAACAAAAACTGATGACATTGAGCACGTCTTGTCCGCAAGGAAAAATTATAAAATGCCGAATTGCAAAAAGTTTTCTTAAGTACAATGCACAAAACGCAATATACATCAAAGTCTAAGACAAAATACGAACTGGTTTAAAGGTTTCCATAAATGAATGAATGAATCAATCAATCAATCAATCAATCAATTAATTTGTAAAACGATACTTCCGCGATGTTCAACAGTGCTCCTCAGTGAATTTTGCAAACAGATGGGGCCGCTTGAGATCCGCTCTGAACTTCGTAAGCTATGGAGAAGTAGTCAGAGAAGGAGGTAGAGGGTTTTAGAGAAAAGGACCAGAAAAACCAAATGCAGATTTAGCAAAAGGGTGTGTAACACCAGTTAAGAAAAAGTGAGAACAAGATGACGATCGTAAACCGGGGCGTTTAGTTTCAATTAAAGGGGCACGAGCAAATTGATAAGCAGCAGAGTTGAAAACTTTATTTAAAAGATATAGTGAAAAATCAGGAAGACCATAGTAGAGTGAGTTACAATTGTCAATCCTTGATAAAACTACAAAAGTAACAAGAAGAAGAGAAGGATCGTCAGGAAAAGGCAAAAGTTTTTTTTTATTCTACGTAGATGAAAGTAAGAACTTCTAGTAACACTATTAATCTGAGAAGAAAAAAAAATTGAATCCGTTGTTATCCAAACTGTAACGCAGCAAGGGTCAGCTGTCCTGCTAGTGCACAAATATGATACCGTGGAAAGAAACTCTGAGATGGCCTCATACGCCTGAAATTTATAATACGAACCGTGTACACCAGTCAATACACAAGTTTGTCTGTGTGTGTGCATGTGTGTGTGTGTATGTGTGTATGTATTTGTGTGTGTTTTGTATGTGCGCATAACGCGTCGAGTCAAATTAAACTTGGAATATCAAATCATCTGTGGCGCATTGGTAAGGCAGGGTAAAACGTTGTAAGGAACTCTGCTTAAAATAAACATAAATAAGCAAAATTTATATTTTTCACAAAAACAATTATCAAGATTGAAAAACATTGACTGCAGTTTAATTTATAACTGATAATAAAACAGATGAATAATAACAGAAAAAAATATTGAACTGTTGTTGTAGAAGAGATGTGAGGAGGGATTGGACGGATGGGAAGAGATCTGATGGACGGATATGATTCCACTTGTTTTTCTTGGTAAGGATTTGGACCACGTTGTGTTGTTGCTGCTGCTTTTATTGTTCGTCTGGTAACTGTCGTCAGTGTAGTAATGAGGATGATGCTGGTTGTTGTTGTTGTTGCTGGGTGCATGACCATTCACGACGAAGTGATTAAAGTTTGAGCTGTGCGAATTATTGGAAGTATGGTCGTTTGAATGTTTGTGGCTCTGTTTGGCTGGTTCGTTGTAGGGAGATCCGTTTTGATTCAAGCGTTCGTTCACATCGTTCATGCTCCTGTTGTAGATGTGTTTGTTGGTGATGGGTAGGTTGACGTTGATTCTGTTTTTGCTGAGATCGTTGGAAAGAAAGTGTTGCCGTTGTTGGTTCTGTTGTTGTTGACTAGAAAGCTGCATGAAATGTTGGGATGATTGCGATTGTTGAGATGATGATTTGAGGCTGTTAACTTTCAGGTCTGCCACCTGGTTGTTTAAACATTTACTTAATATCAATCGGACGTTAAGATGATGGTTGAGATGATTTTTTAATTTTTAGCGTTTAGCTGATAAATACGTTAAACAGCCGAATGCCCATGAGCGCATTTTTACTTTATAAATATTTTTTTCACCGACCTTCATAGGAGCCGAAAACAAATTGTTGTTTCTGTTATCGAAGTTGTTGATGTTGTTGTACCTGGCTCTCGACGAGTCGTCATCGTCCACAATGCCTGACCACTGAAGAGGCAGACCTACACAACAACAAGTAAAATTTTATTCTAACATTCAAAAGCACAAATGCACGATCCTTCTAATAATTTTTAAACTTCTAAGTAGGCAGTGTTAGCCTAAATAGTCATTTCATTCGTGATTCATTTTTTGCATTCAAATCTTAAGTATACCATTACAAAAGCGTATAATTGCATTAAATATTTATAAAGTTAATTTATATAAAGCAACAAATCAACCAACTCTCACCAACAAAAAGTTTGTTTGTAGCATCAAAATCTGTATGCACCATGTGCTCAAAATCAAGAGGCTTCGATATTTTCGGCTTCCGTTTCTTTTTTCCAAACATTTTACTTCGTCAAATTTTACTTACAATTACTTTCTATTTAGAAACATTCAATTACAAGTTAACTATTCAATTACAAAATGAAAACATTTAGAGAAAAATGCTTTCATTTTACCATTTGAAAATTATTTAAAAAACACAATTATACATATATTTATTTATATCTTTCAGTTGGGCAACATCACAGTTTGCTGCAGTGTATTAAATAATGAATAATAAACATATTAGATCTAAAAATTGAGAATTAAAAATTTTTTTTCTCATAATTGACGTTTTCGAAATTCATTTTAATTTGATGTTGGAAATTTAAATAGTTCAAGTAGCGTTATTATCACACAGGCCTGTATAATTATTGAATTAAATATAAATTTAATAAATCATACGCGCGCACACACACACACACCTTCTCTTTATCTCGCTTTCTTTTTTTCGCTGTAAGGAAGAATCATCATAATACATTATTCATACCAAAAATAAAAAATGAATAATGCAACCACAACGACACACGACATGCTCTCACGTTCATTTATTATATTATTGGTTGTTGTTATAATTGTCTATTTTTAGTTATTCATTATTAAATTATTGTGTGTTTCTTTGTTTGTGTGCGTGTGTGTGTGTGTTTGCTGATGAGGTTTTTTTAGATTTTTGTAAGCTTAAAGTTTAATTGAAGAAAATCATGCAATTTGCCCATCAATGTAATTTATAACAGAATCTAATCATCTAATGATTAGATGATTAGATTCTCTCTAATCTAATACTAATCATAGTCCTTACCTAATGTTATTAATATATAGTTGTGATTGACCTGTGGTTGTCTTACAATTAACATAAATTTGATAAACACCAAAACATGCGCAACAATTAGATTAGCACCTCAGCACATCATATCACTACGAACGTCGAACAGAAAGAAATTCGGAAAATTGAAATTATTAAAAGGTCGAAGTGTGCAACTTGCTTGTTTACAAACAACAACTTACACCTGTATTGATCACGAAAATAGAGATGGCAGTTTTCTCAAAATAAAACCTACCTGGATTGTATTAGTGAAAGAACGATTAACCGTCAACCAACTATACGAGAACTTGATTCCTTATTTACGATTTCACTGCTTTCACTGCTTTCACTTCTTCATTACAAATAATGTAGGAAAAGCGTGGAGACATTTGGACATGCACGCATATTGTTGATCATAACTTATTTCAGAAGTCTCATCTTATCAATGAAATTGTGATTTTATTAGGTGTTCAAGATTTATATTTTTTCAATCTCGAGTCGGTCTTCATGAAAAAAGCGACATACACACACACACACACATGTATCTACATCAACTGTGCTTTTTACCAAATAAATTGTTTTTCAATTCAAGCTAGCAAACAAACAAACAAGCATACGAACACGCACATATGCACCCATATACACATAAAGATTTTAATAAGATATTGCAAACTTTTTCGTAACGTCCATTAACGCCAACTCAGCGGAATAAATTTCTCCTAAAAGTATTCATTAATAAAGACTGATTATAGGCAAAAATTAAATATGAATTTAAAAAAATTATTAACTCCAAAATGTCATTAAATTATTAAATGGGTAGAATATCAAAAATGATCTTCAATAAAAAAAAACTCTTCCCACGACAAACAAACATCTATAAATTGTGAATGAACACTTTTGTGCCGAAATGTCTTTCGAGAAAAGTTCACCACGAAAGATGCACAACACAGAACAGAATCATTAAGATAACAGATCAACCTACAGACTTGGCCAAAGAATTAATACCTGCGACATTTAGTAAATGAATTTCCTAAAAACAAAAAAATAATAGTTCACATGCTTACCAGACATAAATCAAAATGAAAATAAAACTAAAAAGGATGATGTCAATCCTAATAATGCAAATGAACATACATAGCAAAATGATATTGAGTGAAATGATTTACAAAACAAAATTGTGATTGGACACATGTTATAATTTATATATTTGGCTTAATGTATTGACCTATAACGCGTAACAAAATTAAACAATCAACAAATATTATAGATATATATATATTATTATTTATTATTATTATTATTAATTTATATTGCGTCCTATGCATAGCTTCAGGGACGCTTGGATAAACAATGACTTTTGACGTTTTCGTAGGCCGGGATAAAAGTTGGATAATGATCGTAAATCATTTTCAAGTTTCTTTAGTTCAAAACCAAAATTTTTGTTAAACAAAAGAAACTTGAAAATGATTTACGATCAATTGTTATCTATATATATATATATATATATATATATATATATATATATATATATATATATATACAGTATTGTATGAATTCTACCGAATTGATGGTATTAATCACACACACACAAACAGACACACACACATATATATATATATATAATATATACAATATATATATATATATATATATATAATGTAAATGTGTGTTTGCGTGTCAATATAATATACAAGCAACAAAAATTGTTATAAACGAATTAGAGATAGATATGAAACGTAAGTTAATGTGGTCTGTGCAAATTAATGATACATAACAAAAAATAAAACAAAAAAAAAGTTTATGTCGAGAGAATGACTGACTTCAGTTAGAGCACGTTAAAAGAGGAAACTCGTGTGAGGACCAACTAATCAGATTGTAAAATATAAATGAGCCGGAAAAATATAGAAATATTAGTTTCATCTTGAAATTGAAGTTAAAAAAGCAATATAAACATTTCAAAAATTACTTCATTAGTTGAATATAGTGAACGTTAATAACAAATAGAGTATTGGAATAATATCAAACATGAAAATCTATCAATCGATTTATCAATTCATCTGAAAAATGCCGACTCCCCTGTATTCGACGGAAACACCCATTAACGAATTTCTCTTGAGATCCTATACACCGAAACATGTGAAAAATGAATAGTAAAGAACCAATTTTGAGATAATAACCACAAGTGTCAAGTGTGGTTGAAAAATAGTAAAATTATGAAAAAATTCGAAAATAATAATACGTAATATACATGTGCATGTTGCAACAAAATCAAACATGCATACAGCGGATGAACTTTTAAACGTAAGAAAATATTTGCGAAATGAATGTACAGCAAACGTAAACAAGTGGTTATTATATAACAAATACAGGAGCTCATCTAATCCTTTCCCTGCCATCCAAATTGTTTTGTCTTTTAACCAGCATGGAATGACAATCTTTTCTGTAGCCACTCAACTGCTCGTTCACAAACGTTTTGAAGTTTGATGTCGGGCAGAGAGAAAATTTTTGCAGTTCGTCACCGACATTTCTGCAAAATGGAGTGAGATGCGTGACTGCTTTGCCGTTGTATAATATTCGTAGGAGAGATTTGCTGCTGTTGTTGTTGTTTGCGTTTTTGCTGTTTTTACCATATTGTTCGATAACGATTCGTGAAGCATATTTTGGCCAGTGACCATCTGCAAAACCCAACGAAGAAGCAATGGGTTCTATGGTGGAGTCGTGACCAGAGTACAAAATGACAGTCGGAAGATGATTGGTCGCTGGCTCGTCCACTCCGTTTACATTTGATTTAACAGGAACTGCATTTTCCCCATTATCATCATCATAATTATTTTCAACAGTGACTGATCTTTTCAAATTTTTTGTACGATATTGTCCCAATAACATTTTTTCATTGTACGACAATTTATTAAGAATCTCGTGCAGAAGTGGGATCATCTTGAGAATGGATATCTTCTTGTACCTACCATTCTTCGTCATCCTCACACCGTGCTCGTTCACGTGGTTGTGCAAATCGATCAACAAGCAATCATCCAGAGTTTGATTGTGGCAGTGATGCGCCACTAGGAAGTCCCAGATAGGAGTGGGGCGAGGATCGGGTTTGTTAGAATTGAAGTTGAACCTTTCGAGAACTCTAGCATAGAAATGTTTATCCGTCATCGGCAGTAGATGAGGAGTCCAGGTCTGCTCGAACGAATTTGCAAAAACATTCTCCATCTTCTGAACCGCTGGACAATCACACTTAATTTTTGAATTACGTTTGCACATATTTGCCATATCTCGCATTTCAAAATTTAATTTCGCTAGATTAAACTTTGGTAAGAATCCATAAATGAAAGCTATGGCTGACTGAAACGTTCTGCTGTACATTGTGGTGATTATCTTTACATTTTTTTCAAAATCTGATTCAGTTAGCAAATTGTGCTTATTGTACTTATTCTTAAGGGAGAGTCCATTCCTGAGTTGCTGAGCAGCCCCGAGTGGAGTTAAAACACCAGGAGGGCAAACCATAACATCAGGGAATAAAGTGGTGAAATTGAACGCTTTGAAAGTTTCTAATGATTCAAACGCATGTTTACTTTGCCTCATGGTTTCAGTGAAATCGTAAATAATTGGCACATTTTTTATGAGATGTTCATCAAAATAACATCGAAATGATTTTGTGGAAACACCTTTTGTTTCGATAACGTGAAGAGGAGTGCGATCTCCATGACGAATTATTATATTCAAAGATAATAATTTATATTCATCAGTTGGTACCTCGCCTGGAGGGAACAAAATTAAATAATATTAAAATATGGAGATCAGATCTTATCATTTTGAAATGAAAGATTATTGACCGCTATTCAAAATGACTCATTATTTAGACATTATTTAAGTTACCTTCATCACCAGCTTCTGAGAGGATGGGATCATTGCAATAATTAGCCACTTTTTCTGGCATAACGCAACTATATTTATTAAACCCATTCACTGTGAAAAAAATAAATGCAATTAAACGCGAAATTAAAAATAAAAGGATAAAAGCTAACAACTCCAACTATTAGAAAAAAAAATATCAAATGCTTGTTGAGAAAATGCAAAAACTCAACAGAAAAGAAAGGTACATCAGAAACAACGGTTTCACACGGGGGCGTCTACAAAAATGGGTGAGGAGGCAATTGTTTTCACTTAAAGTTAGGAGAGAGAATTTACTTATGAAAAAACTGGTTGAAACTGTTTTTGAGACGTTATTAATGTTTTCTTGAAACATTCACGTTGAACGTTTAAAAATAAAAGCTATTTCAGATGTTTGTTTATCCGCATTAATGATAGTTGCAACAATACTGATCCTTACCAAAAAACATATTATTTTGATTTCTAATTACACCTATCTAAATGATTATTTGTCGAGTATTAATTAGAACAATTACATTCAATGCTGTTTCAACATCAATATGTGTTGGACAATTTTCGGTCACGCAATATCCAATTTTATTCTCAAAATATGCCGTAATCAATTATTGTCTCAATCTTCAGTTCATAAAGCTCTTCGTTTATCATACAAAACAAAATTTTACTTTTGGAGAAAATGGAAACTGAGTTCAGATCCAGTTGACAAAAATATTCAAAAAATGACCCGTTTTAGCAAATATTGATATATACCGCAAAAACAATGGAAACAAGTTGTTGTCAAAAATGAATATTCGAAGTTTCTATCGTTACGTCAACAAAAAACTTTTCTCAAAACTTTAGATTGTTAGCCTGTGAATTGATAATAATAATATTATTACTTACAATCCATTGTGATGGCTAATGCATTCAATAACTACTTTGCCCCAGTTTTCACAAATGACGACAACAGTATCCCTTCCCTAACATGCTGTACTACAAATTCATTAGAAAACATTTGCTTTACTCGGCATACACTGCATCTTGCTCTTTGTAATTAAAAAAAAAACATCTTCGATAGGTTCAGATGGTATGCCAAACATTTGTCTCAATATGTGTGCATCTAGTTTTGGCTCTAACATTATATCACATACTTGATCGTCTTTTAAAACTAATTCTCTACCAGCCAAATAGAAGACAGCCATTGTTACTTTAATACACAAGAAGGGTCCGACAAATTACTCAAGCAACTAAAGATAGACCAACATCGCTCACCTATTCATCTTGCCGGGTTATGGAAAAAATGGTCAACTAGAATAATTTACTTTATTGGTTAAATAACAACCTATTATTCAAATTTCAACATGGGTCCTTGCCTGGCATATCAACATTTTAAAACTTCCTTAAATTTCCGAGTGATTCGTTAAACATTCGTCAAAAGAAAGAAAGATGCGACAGAGTTTATATCGACTTTCAAAAAGCTTTCGAATCTGTTTCTAGCTTGCGAGTTTGCAAATTGAAAGCTTATGGTATAATTGGCAATTTGCTACTGTGGTTGACCGATTTTCTACATGTTCGCTCACAACTTGTTCAGATTCAAAACAAATTATCCAATCCAGTTGCTGTGTACCTTAGGGAAGCGTTCTAGGAACCACCCTGTTTCTCATTTTCATCAACGACATAGATAATTGTATTTCCTCGCCTCACGTCTCGATGCTACTTTTTGCCAAAGACATCTAATTTACGCTGGTTCATAATATTCAACCGAATTGCAACAAGTCATCAACGACATAATTGCATGAAGCAAAAGATAGCAACTACAAACTTTCTCCTAGTAAATTGTCTCTAGGCTCATTTCTACTATCATCCAAAAATATTACAGCCGTAAGTCGATACGTGATTGATCATCACATTCTAAAAGCTGTCGACCATTTTAAAGATCTTGGTGTGCTTTTCGACAACCAATTGAATTTTAATCATAATATCAAAGATAGCACACATAATCTACTTGTGCTCGTCTAATCAATAAATATGTTACATACTGAGATAAAAGTTTAATCACAAAAGATTTCTGCACTTATATCCATCCTTTATTGGAATATTGTTCATCTATCTGGAGTCCTCACTATAAATATCAAATAACCAAAATAGAAGGTATTTAAAGAAGATTCTCTAAAGCCATAACATCAATTCGCCAACTTCCTTATTCATCTCAATGGAATTCAAACACTGGAACACTGCAGAATAATTTTTGATCGTCTTGTATACAAAATATTAAACAATCTTGTTGTCACTGATTGAACGGTCAGTTTTGCCCATCGCAATATCTGTCAACTCACGGTCATAGTTATAGACTGCGCGAACCCAACATCAACAATAACATCACCTAAAACTTTTTCTGCAACAAAATAGTCCGAATGTGGAATGCACTACCGAAAAAAGTGGTATCATCTCCATCAAATGCAGTTTTCAAGAAAAAATTACTTGCTATAAATTTTAAACATTTTCTAACTGTTTAATGATAAATTGAATTAGCTATTTTTCTTTTGAACTGTTATTTATTCAGCCAAATTTGTTTTTAAACATTTTTTGTTGTTATTGCATGTCATATAATGTTATCAATCAATGTACATTATTTTACCTTTTACCTTATTTTACCTTTTACCTAGTATTGTTTAGCCTTATCTATCTATTTGTAATCTGAATGACAATGATAGAAATGATGACACTTTTATTTTCAATATTTTCATTCATTTTTCTATTTGCCATTTTGTTTAGTTGTAAGTTTATTTTGTTTTTCCTGACAGGGTTAGGGCCGTTGTAGCCCTCCGGTCAGTTGTGTTAAAGTGTAAAAGTGAATTTATTTAATTAATCTAAATAATCTGAAATTTTTAATCAAAGTTTTGTATAAAAATTGTTGATAACTATTGTTTTAGATACATATATAAACGACATTGAAATTTTTAATTCCAAAAATGGAATGTTAAAATCACAGAAAACTTCAAATCGTGGAGCATTTCAGAGTTATCAGTCTGTTCAACCTGAGAATGGAAAAGAAAAACTTACAGCCCTAACAAGTAGTAATTTAAGCTGTCCATCACCATGTTCAAATCCAACCCTATCGTGCTTTTATAAGCTATTGTGAAAAATATACTTTATTAATGCAACATTTACTCATTTAGATACATCAGTTAAAGTGCATGCAGGTTTATTTTAATGCCTACCATACATAAGCAAGCATTCAAGCATGTGAGTTTACTTTAATGCCAATAAAAGTAAATTTCTCCTTTAAAAGCACACCAAAAATATGATTTTAACCCTACAAAATTATTAAATAATTGATGAAAGTTAAAAAAATGTTTTAATTAAATTTATTCAACTTTTTTTATGTTAAAACAAAAATTATTAACATTCTAATAATAATTAATAGCTATTATATATATAATTTCTATTTTTTTATTATTATTATTATCTGTCTTACATTAGACAGATGGAGATGCATCTTCATATCTCCTCCCATAATATATTGATCGGTCGGTATAGCTGAGTTTAAATTCATAAAATTTCAAAATAAAAAAATCCACTAAAACTAAAAAATTTTGATCCAAAGCCAAAGGGGGATTTTTCATCTCCAACAGCCAATATTCAAGAAAGATTGATGCCCATGGTTTCACAAATAGTAGATACCAATTGTTAAAGATTAAACATACGCATGAATAATAATTATTATTTATTTAGTAACAAATGATCACAGAAAAACCATTTTAAACATTACTGATTGCAGCTGTCACTATTATCACCACAATTGTTATGGCAACCAAGGTGGGGACAACCACACTCCATCTCATATGAATCTTCATTCTTTTAAACTTTGAAAACATTAATAAAACTTTCAAATAAAATTATGCTATTATTATAAAGTTGGATTGACACATTTAAAATGCGAAATTCAAATTGTGATCTTTTCTAAAAAATATGAAGTGCCACGAATCAACTCTATTACATTTCAAACTATTTTAACTTTTAAAACAAAGATTGTGACATTTAACTTGTTGGGAAATTTCAAAAGTTTTGAAAATATCACAAAAATAATTAGTAAATGTTAAAAAAAATTTTGTTTTTTTCATTTAATTTAAAATTTATAATTTATCAAAAAAAATGTTCATCTGATTAGTCAATCACTAATTTCTATTGCATTATATAATATCAATTATCTTATATATTATATATGCATTCATCAAGTATATATCATGGATATATATATCCATGGGCATCTCCTTTGTTGGGTCTTTTTAAAGCAACAATTTTAAAACTCATAAAACTGTCTAACCATTTTACGACATGCTAATTTCAATTTTTGTTTATTAAATTATCCTTTGTTGAATATTTCCGTTTAATTTTGTTTATTCTTTAAAAAATTTTGAATTTCACTTTGTAATGTCTTTTGATTTCTATGCACAGTTTTTAGTTAAGGTGGTCTACACATAAGTGATCTCCGGTGCTTTTGCCGAAAAGAATTCTGTTCAAATTCAAATTCAATCAAATATATACACATAGAATAACAAGTTCAAGGTTTGCTCAACTATTACTAAACTGAACGAGATACCTTCGAAAACGGACTTAGTTTGGTCCTGGATGCACTTGCAAACTGGAAATCAACTGTTAGAGACGGCTTTCCTGTAAAAATTATTAAAGCTGGCAAACATGCCTTACTGAAACCACTTCACATGTTGCTATGCCTTTGCTGGCAACTGGGTGCTATCCCACAATATTTGAAAGATGGAAATGCAATCTACAAAAACAAAAGAGATCGTTCAAACTGTAACAATTACAGAGGCATCTCTTGGCTAAATGCTGGTGAAAAACCTATGCTCGAGTGCTTCTTAAAAGATTAAAAATTTTAGCAAATATCATACCCAGATTACTAGCACTCAAGCAAAAAATAAACCCTTAATATCAATTCTAGACAACTGCTGCCATGTGCCAATGGACAAAATTTATGTGTTACTATTATTAATTTCAAGCGATTAGATGACATCCATTTACTAACATCTGACAAGCAAAGAACAAGGTTATCCAACAACTCAGCAACTATCTAATATTTGGACATCATCAGCAAAAGCCTGACATTAAACCATGCCTATTAACAACTTCGAAAAGATCAGACACATACAACAAGAACAGCAACGGACCCAACACAGATTCCTGAGGAATACCAAACGACAACCTTTCAACATCAGATACTTACCACTAAACAAAAATTGCTGAGTACGATCACACAAGTAATGATTTCAACCAAGAAAAGACGATACCCGAAAAACCAAATAAATTCTGTAATTTATCAGTTAAAATCATATGATCGACACAATCAAAAGCCGCACTCATGTCAAGAAGAAAAAGGAGCGAAATCTTTTCCTCATCCATTGCCATAAACAATTCTGAAGCCAAATTGATAAGTACAGTTTCAGTCGAATGGAATCGCCGATAACCAGATTGGCAAGACGGAAGAAGACCATTAACAGACAAATAGCAAAGCAACTGTTTATTGACAATTTTCTTAATAATTGTAGCTAAAAACAGAAGATTAGAGACCGGGCGATAGTTAGCCAATATGTTTTTATCAAAGCTAGGTTTTTTTAGAGTGGGGATGACTACAGCATGTTTCAGTAAGGAGGGCAACTGGCCAGAGCTAAGGGATAGATTGACAATATGCAATAAAATGGAAGGAATAAGTCAATATATTTCTTAAAAAAAAGCGAAGAACAACTAGACGGGGAGTCAAATCAGCACCCGTACATTCCTAAAATTCTAACAATGCACTGGTTCTACCGACATCCAATGGGGCATTAAAAAAATACAATTCCCAGATTGCACTGACCCCTTATGGAAGTTATTTTGTTGTAAAAGAATTTTGACAAATCATGAACCAAAACATTGACGCCAGACACCGCAGAATTCACAACAGACTTTCTACAAAGAATTTTGTTAACAGTGGACCATAACTTTTTTGGCTGATTCAAATGCAGACGAACCTGATTAGACCAATAATCATTCTTCTTTTTAGCAAATAACTTTGATTTCTCAGTAAGCGCCAGTACCAATAAATGTTTATCAGACTGACCCTCAAGTGATCTTTCAGTTTGCCGACGGTTAACTCTCAATGATCTACAATCATCATCGAACCATGGGGCTACAAGAACAAAATGAGAATGAAGAGGCCTATATATATATATATATATATATATATATATATATATATATATATATATATATATATATATGTAATATATATAAGTGTGTGTGTGTGTGTGTGTGTGTGATCAATCACTAAAAATTTCTTGAATTCGTTTTTGGATAATAAACAAACGCTAGAGAGTAAGTGCATTAAAAACTTGTCACTCCAGTTGAACTAACTTGTCAGGTTGACGCTAGAGTAGGAGGAATCATTGTTGTCGCTTGAAAATCAAAATTTAAACTAAAAAATTTGAAAGTTCAATATTTTTCATCGGATATAAAAAGAAGTTAGATAGATGTCATGCTGGGTGTCCGACACAACTTCCTACGATTACCAGTTTCGTTTTGTGATCGTTGGTGACAGCACGGTCGGCAAGTCGTCCCTCCTGAAATATTTCATCTGCGCCAAATTTGATGAACTTGCCGAACCGACGGTGGGGGTCGATTTCTTCATTAGGACGATTGACGTTGAACCTGGAGTGAGGATCAAGTTGCAACTCTGGGACACCGCTGGTCAGGAAAGGTTCAAGTAAGTTAAGTTGGCTGATTAATATAAAAAAATAAACAAGTGTATCATGTACGTATTTTTTTGTATGATGACTGCTTGCTTATTATAATTTGAACTGCTTGTTACTGATTTAACTTTAAATTAATTCATTTATTTTATTATTAACTAAATTCATTAGCTGGTAATTTGATAATTTAATTATGTTGAAAAGTCGTGCATTTTGTTTCTTTTGTCATGTTGTTTTATTTTGATTGTTTTATTAATTTATATGACAAACAATTTAAAAAATTATAAAGATTTCTTGACATATCATAAAATTGCTCTGCATGTATAAATAAAATTAAATTCAGATCAATAACTGCTTCTTATTTTCGCAATTGTGCTGGCGTTTTGTTGGTGTTCGACATAACGAATCGATCGTCATTCAGTCACATTCCAGACTGGATGAACAACTGCAGACTACATTCAACATTCACTAAAACCACATTCTTGCTAGTTGGCCACAAAGCTGATCTGGAGGCAACCAGGCAGGTTACAAGCAGAGAGGTTGGTCTGCTATGCTTCAAAATCATTTCATTTTTCCACAAATTATTTTTTTCAAATTATTTGCTTCTAAAAAATTTTAAGCTGTTTAGTTAGTTGCTTTAAGTCAAAGTTGACATGAAGTTTTTTGAAAAAATTTAAAATGTAGTAAGGTCATAAAAAATGCTTGTAACAGGTTTCAGCTGGTATCGTGTGAAATAATTGTAAACTAATTAGTCCATGATTATTTTGCATCTGCAATTTCTGTGATTAAAACTTGAACTTAACATTTTTAATTAGTTACAATTAATTTTCAAATAATTTGCATTTACAATTTTTATTATAATTAAAATAGAGTGAGAGATGTGGATGCCCACCAACCTGCTTTGAATTGCTCTGATGCTGGAGTGTTAATCATTTCAAATTTGATTTGTTCCCACAGGCGACTTTATTTGCAGACTTCCATGACATGTTATACTTGGAAACGTCATCAGTTGACGGCTGCAACGTTGATGAGGCATTCAGATTGTTGACCGAACAGGTCTATGCCATAGCTGTCCAAGAGAAAATTGGTGAGAACGAAAATGATGGTGAAGATGATGATGACGATGAGTGTGGACCAATCAAAAAAGGACACAGGGAGAGTGTCATACAGTTGAAGAGTGCAGTGGAAAGTGATGAGGATGAAGGCAGCACAAGTGATGGAATGAAACGAAGAAAAAACTGTTGTTGATTTTGTATAATTCCTGTGGTTGCTTCTTATCTAGGTCATTTATATATATATATATATATATATATATATATATATATATATATATATATATATATATATATATATATATACATATATACATATATATATATATATATATATAGCCTGTATCTTCATATGTTTACATATAATATGTTTATGTTGTATACAATCAGTCACATATATCTAACATCATTATATTCGTGGTTTTCAAGTACTTTTGTTTAATTTTTAAAACGATTATTTTAAATGCAGAAGTTTATAAAAAAAATGCATGATTATTTTGTTGAACTAATTCTAAAACTGTAGCATATGAGTAACTCGGTTGCTGCAAAGTTGGTTTAAATTGGTTGAAAAGTTGCTTCAAGGCGTTTGCCAAGTTGGTTCAGTGGTTGCAAGGTTAGTTCAAGATGTTTATAAGGTTGGTTCAAAGTGGTTGCAAGGTTGCTCCACGTTGGTTGCTAGGTTGGTTCAAAGTGGTTGCAAAGTTGGTTCAAAGTGGTTGCGCGATTGAATAATTGTTTGGACCATTTAGTTACAAGATTGAAACTAATCACACAGTAACAGCACCTTGTACCTTCTTGCCGGTAGTGTTGAGCTTTCACTTATAAATTGCATCAAGTTGTTTGTTTTAAAAAAAGTTGAAACGTTATTGCCTTTTGTATGTAAATCGAGTTGTTATTTATTGAGTCATTTTTTTGACAAATATTTGCCAAACGTCTCTCATATTTTATAACCTAATTTATTATTGCAATTGTTGTGTGATTTGAGTTTTTATATCTGGTCATTGATTATCCTGAATCGATTAGTTCATGTAATTGCGTCCTGTCGTTGGACCACCCCCATTTATTTAATGGTGCCCGTGTGTATATGCGTTTCTGTCTGTAGTATCAATTGTGATAGAAATTTACTTCCCTTTTTGGCTGACGTTGTTATCTTTGGCATGTCTGTTTAAATCTCAAATGCCACTTTAGTTGGGGTAGTAATTTTTTTTTTTCTTCAACAATTACTAACATTACGTAATCGTTTTTTTCATTGTTACTAACATTAAATATTGTTTGTTGGTCATGTTTGTTGATGTTATGCTTGTTTCAAGCTTATGCATTTTTGTTTGGAATGGATTGACGCAGTTCTTATCGCGTTAAGGAAGCGACACGTTATCTTGTACTTGACAAGTGTGTGCAATCAATTTGTGTGTTGTGTACGTCTTTAGGTGAACACGTCATGCAAGTTATCTCATACAGGCTTCATCAGTAATTACTAATTAATTTTTGATAATTGTGAATAGAAATAATAGCGTTTGCGAATTATGATTCGTAATTAATGGTAGATGTCTCATTGTTAAATTTTGTTGATGCTATGAGCTTATCTTTACGTGCCTTGATGAATGTGTAAATATAGTCCTATCATCAGTTTTTAACAATTGCAATGAATTATGTATGTATTTGTTATGTATATCTCGTTGCTCCATTCCATATTTCGTCGTTTTTTTCATTCCCTTTTCATTTGTTTCTTTCGCCTATTTTTGTGTTTTATTTTTTGTCGCATGTTTTTAATTTTAGTTCGTTCATCTTTTAAAGATTTCTTTTTAAATGTTGCTAAATAGTTGTTTTGTATTTGTTTATTTAATTTGTTTGCAAGAACATCTGCCAGCTTCTCTATTTTATTTTCTTAATCTCAGTTCATTTTTCAACGTTTTAAGATTTTATATCTTTTATTTAATATAGAAATCATTGATTGCATACAATTTTAAACTGGCAAGGACTGATATATGATATTTTGGAAATAAAAAGTGGTTTTAGAGGAGTTGTTTGACTTAAAATTTGTCAACTTTCAAGTCGTTAAGTTAGAAAAGTCAATTAACTAAGTTAAGTAAATTCAAATTAGGCCGCAGTTTTTCAAATTTATCGTCAATTTTACCTTAAATCAACACTTCTCTTATCAGCAAGTGAATTCGTCAAACTCCCGTTTAGTCTAAATCTCGAAAAATATTTCACTTTGTAAAACGTTGCTTGCTCGATCAAACACTTTTTAGCATTGACACACGGACAGGACAAAGATAACCTATATGTTCAGTGCATACTACAGAGTACAGAAGCACCGAAGTTCCGACCTGGCCGAACATTTTACCAAAATATGACATTCGACTTCAGCCATTTGAAGGCCGAATAACCGAAAAATACAACTTCTGTTAAAACTATCGCTTTTGGGATTCTAGAACAATGATTGTCAAATATTATAAGCGGAAATACATTTGAATTTAAACAAAAGATTGAATATTATCTCGGTTAGGAATTATTGGATTGGCGTAAATCGCCTACTGTTTTTTCAAGAGCCTGTTTTCCATTCAACATTGTAGGTTTTTTATTAGTTGGCCTTCGAATGGTTGATCCACTGTTCGACCTTTGGTCAAATGTACTATTCGGTGCATTTCTAGTGCACAAACACTCACGTGAACACTTGAGTCCACAACCAGTGGTTCCTACAGTGGTGCCACACATACCTTCACTCAATGTTTTCTGCTTGTTGACGAAACTGCTTGCAATGAACATTACGTGGACATGATGTTGATGACAATGACGTTAACAATGCTGATGGTGATGATATTTAAATGTTTATATTTTCATTAATGTCAAACGTCTCATGCTCAAATGTAACACAAACTATGTAACAGATGAACAAAGGCAGAAAATGTTGAAGAACAATTAGCAAAGTGGTGCATCACATGCACATTTTTGCACATCGGTCATCTTCCATTATTAATCTTCTATTCAGTACATTTTTCTTTCTTTAAAGTTTCTATTGAAATTTCACTGCAACAAAAACTTAAAAAAAATGATAGAAATGGTGATGGAAATAGAAATTGATTGGAACAAATATTGCGTTCATATTTACTGGTATGCTGATTATACGATATTTAAAGTCTGATTATAAATTAAAATTAAGATGACAGGGATAGATATAATGATTATGAGAATGGCGAACAATGTTGACAGTAAAGAAGATGATGAAAATGATGATGAGGATGATTGATGATTGCGCCAAAAAATGAAACTTCTTCATAACGTATATCGCACGCTGCTGAAAAACTGACCACCAGCAATTAGAAATGAAAAAAAAGAAACCACGAACGTTCAAATCGAACAGTCTTTGCACATCTGATTGTTAAACTGCAGTCCGGAGTTTATTTTTGAACAAAATATTCCAATGAAAATATAATTCTTAAAATAGAATAAACAAGTTATAATAAATAAAACTTCATTAAGCCACCCCCACGTTTGCAAATTCAATTTTTCAAACATAAAAATTGGGATCTCGTGGTTAGCGTGTCTGTCTACCACTTCCACGACCCGGGTTCGAATTCTGCAGTTTCTACAGGTTCATCCGGGTAGCCGACTCCCGGTCAACCCAGCCTTCCATCCTTTCGGGGTTGGTTAATGGGTAGACGACGTAAGTTGTTGCATGCTGGCCGGCGAGATGGCTCAGTGGTTCGAATGCGCAGTGAGTCAAACATCTCAATGGCTATCATATACTCAGCGTATATGATGCGGTGCTTGCGCGTGCACATAAATCCATGTGTACGTCGTGTGAAAAGGATAAACAGATAGCCTTTGTGGCAAAAGATGGCTGCTTCATATCATTGGTTGAAGATATGAAGAACATAATAAAGATATTGATGATATATCAGTAACATTGTAAGTGGTTCTGCGTATGTCAGAGCTGTAATAATAAAGACTAATAAAAAAAAAAAAAAAAAAAAAAACGTCTAAACACGTACAAGCAGTGTGGGAACCAGAACAATTTTAAAGTGTCAAATTTTGTGGAATGAAATAATGCAATCTAATCGTGGACGCATCTACTGCATTGGAGGATTCATAAATATCTGTGCTTGTGAATATTTCAGTTTAATTGGAGATAAAAAAGATAAAAAAAATTAACGAAAGTGTTTCAATTAGGTCTGACATGCGAACAAGAGCGTTCTTCAGGTTCTATGAATTGCAATTCGTACGTATTCAAACAACACACCTCTCCGTAAAATAGGTACGGACATATGGTAGGCAAGTCTTGACACAATTTGTCAAACATTAATAATAATCATAAATATTTAGCCTACACCTATTGCTTGTTATCAAATTTTTACATGTATGTGTGTAATATACATACAATACGCATATATATATATATATATATATATATATATATATATATATACGTGTGTGTATGTGTGTGTGCGTGTGTGTGTGTGTGTATGTATATGTGTGTGTGAATAATATGTTTTTACGTGGGTCTATATATATTTGTGTTTCAATAATTACAACCGACATTCTGATAAAAATGTAAAAGAGTTGATTACTTAATAATTTCGATTCCATTTTTGGTTTTTTAGGATTTGTAATATGAATGTGAGTTTACATGCACTAAAATATTTAAAATATGCTCTTATTTTTACAATTGTCACTGGTGATCATTACAAGAAAACCATATTTTCTTTTCGATTTCTAGATCATTTCTTTTCATTGATATCATTTCTTTGATTTCTTTGTTTTGATTTGATGAAATAAAAAATGTCAAAAAATGTCAAATATATATATATATATATAATATATATATATATGTCTATATATATATATATAGACATATATATATATGCTGGTAATAGACCATAATTTTTACAATATTCTATAAATTCTACCGAATGTTTGGCGTTGATATGTTTGTAGTTTGTACAAACATATTATATATATATATATATATATATATATATATATATATATATATATATATATATATATATATATATATATATATATGTGTGTGTGTGTGTGTGTGTGTGTGTGTGTGTGTGTGTGTGTGTGTGTGGATGTTTGTGTGTGTGTGTGTGTTGCGTGCATGTATGTTTTTGCTTCACAACACTGCCATGTAAATAAATATTTCAACCCGATCATTACTTCCTCCTTATATAAAGAAGCCAGTCTGTCGATACATTCAATTTAAATTTATAAATTTTAAAAATTTGATGTTCTTGTTTTTGTTCTTAAGCATTTTTAATTTTTTTTCAAACTATTAAGAACGGATCGGTCATCAAAATTTATTTAGAAAATTTTTATTTAGATGAAGCGGATTGCAGTTTCTTGCGGAGAATTTCAATAAAACTTAAAATTTCTTGTCCGATGTGTGGTGCCTGTCTCTTTTAATGATGGAGACGAAGACTCTTGCTCTGAAATTGATTGTTTATCTACTCTTAAGAGGTTTTGCAAATAATTTCTATCCATTTAACGATTAAATTCATTTATTTGATTTTGTGAAATTGATGAACAAAGTTTGCTCAGCAACACAATAAACGTGATCACGAACTTTTAGATGTCCAGTCAGCCACGCCCGACCACGGCACCACTCAACTCTCCAGATCAAACAGCAACGGCGATATCAGCCCCGAGACTCACACCGACTACGACAACAGAAGTTACCTCGGCAACCACAACAGTTTAAAATCAAAGTTATTTAATAAATACCACGAGAGAGAGTTCGTGCCACACATATTGATGACAACCCGCGCAAAGAGGATCGGATCACCGTTCACGTGTTTGTTCTGCAGTGGACACACCACCATCTGCGATCCCACCATCGCCTGCTACCCCCACACCATCGATCAGTTCGTCAGGTCCGTTGGCCACCCGATGAAAACTCACAAGCAGGTCAAGTTGAAGAAACAACAACCGAAAAGATACGCCATCATTGTGGAAGGGCTTGACCATGCCCCCAAGTATGCACCTCCCATCCATCAAAAGAACAACATCAGATTCCCCTAAGGCCACAATCTCCATTACGATTATGCTTCTAACTATGTAAATGATATTTAAGATGTTAATGAAGATACTTTCGATGATAACAAGTGATAATAATAAAAATAATAATATTAATAATGATGAAGATGATGATATGATGATTAATGATGATTAATGATGATGATGATGTTTTTCTTGAGTACACCGGCCGTTACAATGATTTCGTTGGATGACATTTCGTTCAAAACATCCCTTACTCCACTGCTATTCATTCAAATTTTGTCAAATTTATAACTTGAAACACACACACACACACACACACACACACACACACACACACACACACACACACACACACACACACACACACACACACACATATATATATATATATATATATATATATATATATATTATTTATTTATTTATTTATTTATTAAGATTTTTTAATCCAGTAAAACTTTTGTTGCCACACAACAACACAACTTAACCGCGTTTAAATATTATATTTTCTGATTAAAATAACTAAGCAAATAGAATCGTGAATAAAACAACCACTAATATGGACGCCATTTTTTAGTTAGATACAATTTCCATGTACGAGTTATGCGAAGTAATTTCATGTTTATTTGATCCGTCGAAGGATTCTTCAACGTGTTAAGATGAATTGAATCACAAGTTAACCAGCCGACAACTGAACCGCGCCATACTGTCATCAGCCAATCAGCGTTGGCGAACCACGCATTTTTTTCATAGACGCCCACGAACTAAAATTACACGACGCGCAGAAATAGATGCGACGATTATTACATGTAAAAATATTTCATTTTAAAGAACAAAATTACTAAAAACAAAAGATATATTGAAGATTATACGGCAAAGAAACAACAGTTATTACAACTAGAGCAATTGTTACATTTACAATAACGAAAAAACAACATCGACAAACACCACATCAATTGCTGGAAAACATCAATTGTAATGACTGTTTGTTGTTGTAATGTTGTAATACATCAATTGTAATGACAATAACAACCAACAAAAACATGGGGACATCTGCAGAAGCAAAATAAACTGTGTGAAAAACAAACACAACAACAAACAAAACAACAGATAAACAACCAAACAACAACTACAAATACACAAAAATAACAACAACAACAAACAACAACAGCAATCAGCCATGAAGATAGACAATGAGATGTTGACAGCATCTTCTCATTAGAACTTCTTTGATATTTTTGTTTACAACGTGCAAGCACGCAACAGAAGTTGAAGGGGTCCAGTGCAGGTCAATAATAACCACTAAAACGAATACTTAAACTATTTTTAGACATAGACATAAACACAGAGCCGATTTGTTAAGGAATAAAATGCTCACGGGCTTTTAACTGCCAGTTTTTTTTTAATTTGACTTTTTAGTTTAATGTTTTGTTTATAAAAACTTCATTAACCAGTAAAATGAAATTTAAAATGTAAGAAATATTTTTTTTAATTCCTACAAATTAGCTCCTCATAAATTATACAGACATAACATAATCAGAAAATCACAATGAATTATTGTCAACATAGTGAAATGATTTTGATCGGATGGAACTAGCACGAACGTGAATGATCATAAAACGAAGAAATAGAAAATAATATTAAGTTGATTGATTTGTCATTTGATTCAACGAGAACATCGTCAACACGCGGGTCCAACATTTCAACAGCCTGCATCTCTTCATGGGAAGAACACGTGTCCAAAGTCCAACTGCACAATTCACAATTATTGGTTCATAATTATTTATTTTGTTCATATTATCACCTAATTATATATTATTATTATTAGATTATTTATATATAAAGCGCCCTTTATTGTTCTCAAAGGAGCTAACAATGTAAAAGTTGATTAAATGCGCTAATGCAAAAGTTGATTAAATGTTTCACTTCAATCAAATCATATCATGAAAAGTTTGTCTGAAAAGATGGTTCTTTAGCTTTCTTCAAAATTCAGTAATTGACAACCCACGATTTCGCAAGTCAACCGGCAAACTGTTCCAAATCTTCGGTCCCATAACAGCGAAATCTCTGCAACCAACAGCTGAGTTTGTCGAATTGTTAACAAATCTAAATCGTTTGACCGTAACTTCTGACACTGTAACGGTGCATTTCTTAGAACAATTCGATCCATTAAATATTTCGGCGCTAATCCATTAATGCTTTTATACACCAGTAGGGCAATTTTGAAGACAATTCTTTGTTGAACGGGCAACCAATGAAGATTGAAGAGAATAGGAGTAACATGATCAAAATATGAACAACCAGTTAACAACTTGGCAGCCCGATTTTGAATTAATTGTAACTGTGCAACATACTTTTTGGGTGAACCGTAGAATAAACTGTTGCAATAATCGATCCTCGAGTGAATGAACGAGTGAATTAAACATTGCAATGTATGCATATTTAGAGATCCTTTGATGAGTCTCAATTTTCTCAATTGGTAAGTACATTCTTTAAACAACAACTTTATGTGCAATTGCATTGTCATGTTTTTATCAAAAATAAATCCAAGATTTCGTGCTGACGCACAAAATTCGATGACAGATTTCTTTATTCTGATAGTGTTGATACCCACTCTATTCACTTGTTGCCATGTACCCACAGGCAAAAACTGGGTCTTGCATTGGTTCAACTTTAATCTGTGCCCCATCATCCAAACATCAATGGCTGATAAACACGATACTAAATCATCGACCACATCACACCAGCAAGGTACGACACGAACCACTTGTGAACGACTCCCGATAGTCCAAACGTTTGCTTCAGTTTTTTGAGAAGTATTGCATGATCGACGCAATCGAACGCCGAGCTCATGTCCAAGAGAGCAAGCAATGACACATTTTGTTCGTCCATTGATGAATTCAACTTGTTCCATTCCAAGCAAACCGTTAACGGCATTCCAAAGACGTTTTGGTTTGTTGCTATTTGATTCCACCAAGTCTTTCCAATAACAATTTTTCTTTTTGACAAACAAGCAATATTTATCTTTAATAGCTTGTCGCCAGATATTCTTATTTTTATCACTTGAGTTGTTTCTATAAACCCGTTCTAATCTGCGACATAGCCTTTTCAAATCCCTGCACTCTTCGTCGAACCAAGGGGCTAATGGCACATGTTTAGAGTTGACATAGTGTAGTGGAGCCACTTCATCAACAACCCTCCTCATCTCACGATCAAACAACACAAATGC